TTGATCATAAAAATGTATAATTGAATCCAATATAATTAATTCTATATTAAAAACTTATTACACGCGCGTGTAGCTTGTTAACTTATTAACTTTAACTCAATTGAAGTTACTTGTCGGTGTATTCGTTAAAGAATAAAACGTTTAACTTCAGTTTCATGCCAGACTTTATTGGCTGAGAAAGTATTAGGTCGTTCGGAAAGTTGTTTCGTTCTTCCACGAGAAAATAAAAGACAATTTTTTAACGTTTCAGATTAAAAAAGAACTTTCCGACATTTTTCTGCTTTTTTCAAAATCTTATCTCGTAGTAGCCCCGTCGTTTATTCGTAAAATACTGAATCATGTGCTTTTCTAACAAGCTTACAAAACGAAATTTTTTTTTAAAAACGTAACAACTTTCTGAACGACCCAATAACAAAAATTTAGTGACGAAATTGTAAACATCGCGAGGAAAAAAGCGCACACGAAAGAATTATTGTCCTCGTAATTCTAAACTCCCTCTCGGATTCGCCGGGAGCTGTCATTTGAAGTCACCGTTTCACTTCGGCAAGTCGAAGCTCGACATCGATCCCTTTGGGCACAGACAGAAGGCACGGTATAACACATGCGGTGTTCGTTGCAAAGAAACCGTGGCCACTGTTCTAACTAGAAATTGGAAAACAAGGGTGCAGCGTGCGGTGCAAGTTTACGAGGATATTACTCGCCCCCTCGTTACGGGTTACTGCAGTTAATCCCGCCTGTGTGCGTGTTTCGACCCTTCATCCGATGCACACCAGAAGCTTGGCAGCCTACTGTGTGATTGACAGGTCGAAAATAATTCCTTTGACTGGAATAAGACAAAGGCGTCAAATGAAATTTTTCCATGAAATTTCAATCTTCGAATATTCATCTCGAGCGTGCATTTTTCCATGCATTTTTCGCTAACACATTTGTTCGTTTCTGTTCGCGTTTGTGCAATTTTACGTTTCTGCAATGCAACTTTAGTGCAATAAGTCCCATTGTACGTACAAAAGTATAATAATATTTTTTGAAACATAAACCTTCTTTTAAAAAATTCTATGAAACAAATTATACAGGTTAATTACACAAAAGTTAATTATACAGGTTAAATTATTTAAAATTTATGGTACTTCTGAGAAATGTGGGGTTGCTAAGGTCATTTGAAGTAACTTTTTCCTCAACGAAAATACAATCCACAGCTTTTTGTACTAGTTATTAACAAAAAACAGTGACCAATAAGAGGCGAGCTCGGCTGATGCGCGCCAGCTGATCTCGCCTCTAATTGGTCAGTGTTTTTCATTAATAACTCGTAAATGGAGCCGCGGTTTATATTTTCGCTAAGGAAAAAGTTACTTCAAATGATCTCAGGAATCTCTCATTTTGCGGAAATATCATAATTTTAGGACACCCTGTATAAAACTAAATACATGTATAAAACTAAAATTCTAAGTCTCGTTACAGAAAACTTCCACATCGATCGTTCAAGCGATTAATTATACATGTATATAGACTGCGGACTTTATGCATTTATAATAAAAACGTGTAGGTCAAATTGAAAACAATAACAATATTAAAAGAATTTAAGAACATCTATGTAGCACATCTTCGACTCACTCAAATGATCAAAAAAGATATTCGCCAGTTACGCGTCGGAAAATTTGTATATAAATAAATCAAATTTATTCGATCGATAAAATGTTCGTTTGAATTGAAAAAGTAATTTTTCCTTCGCTTAGAATGACCGCAAACTTCCCGTGACACGAGCTAATAAATTTTGTCCCGATACCAACTTGTTCAAAACGAAGGAGTTGGGCGAAATTTTATTCGGATGAGAGGTAACAGATGAAGACAAATACAATTTTATTCAACATTATCAAATAAGAATTTATCTACATAAAAAGATAACCGTATAAGATCTTATTCGAATAAGAATTTATCCGATTAAGAATTTATTCGTACAGGAATTTATATGGAAAGTAATCGATTTGAATAAAAATGAAGGGATGTAAAGTATTTTTTTTCGTAGTTTTGTCGATTTATTTTTGTTCCATGTTCCTTTTCAGAATTATTTTTTGTTTAAATGTAACGTAGGAAAGTTTGTTGCTTTTCGGTAGACTTGATAGACTAGACTTCGGTAGACGTTGATGCATAACTAAATAATCTTTCTACGGCTACACAGAAGGGCACCGGCAATGTTATAATTTTATAAGTAGAAGAAAACACGACCAACTATAATTATTAAAAAATTCCAATAATTCGCATTATTATTGAAATGATTCCACAATCTCAATTCGAATAACTTATTCGAATAAAGAGAAAGAATTACGCGAATAATTTATTCGAATAAAGAATTACTCAAATAAACAGGAAGAATAATGTACGACGAATAATGAATGGTCGTTGTTCGAATAAAATATTCGACTCAAAAGAATACATTCGAATAATCGTCTTAGATAAATATTTATTCGAAACAATTCGAGTGAGGCCCAAGTTTGTGCAAAACAACCAACGAGAGCATGAAAATCTGTGAAAAGACGTACAGTTACCGGCAAGGATCTTAGCGATTTGGTGATCGGATCACGCGGTCGGGCCATTAAACTTGAATCGAACAGGAGAATTTATTCGAATCGAGCAAACGTTTCTATCAGGATCGGCGACGCGAACCGAAAGCTCACTGTCCGAAGTATCCGTTTAGGAGTCGAAGATCGAGGGAAGTACCCAGAGCCCGGTTTCGGGACACACGTCATTGACTTCGAAATCGATTTGTCTCGCACGTCCGCACGAAAATTAACGGCAGATGCGGCCGTGTTGCAAGCGGACGCGATCGAGCCCCGGTTTCTCCTTTCTCCGGTCGCGAGTCAATAGGATCCGTAATGGCGCCGGGGCTCGTCCCGACCCCATTGTCGTTTTTGGCCTCGTATGCCACGATAAATGAACAGTTTTGTAGAGCTGGGTACACACAGAGCCACCGTCTGCCCGCCACGCCGCGCCGCGTTTCGAAAATGAACGCGAGCTCGCCTCCCGCTCGTTTGCGACGATCGTCGACGCGCGTCCGAACGACAGGCAAATTCACACGGAAACTACGAATTATGGTAATTAACTCGGCCCGGCTTGTTGACAGCTGAGCTAGCCGTTCTATAAATTATGTATAATGTCGGTAATATATTTCGTGATTGAAAAATCGAAAAGATTTATTATTATGATTATTGTTATGATTATTATCATTATGATCATTATTACGATTATTATTATTATCATTATATGTTTATTTATTTTGGCGTGGTCGCATTAACTGTGGGTATTGTATTTTAAGTAGAATTTGTTTCAGTATATATAAACGCGCGCGCGCGCGTAATTTTTCTAACTGTTGTCGCGTAAATGAAAAAATACATCCCCCGCCAAAAGTATTAGGATACCTGCTGATATAGTATAAATTGTATTGTCGAAAGTACATACATTAAATTATAAGTGTTTGTCACTTACGCGATTAGTTTACCCGTTTATTGCATGTTGTTCATTGAAAATATATATGCTTTCATATTCGTATGAAATGTTTGCCAAATATGTATAATATGCTACAGCATGCATGGAAGCAAATAGGATCAGAAATCATAAGCAAATTAATAGAACGAGTGTCGAAATTAGTTCATAAAATAATTAAATAACGCGGTTGATATATCGACGAAAAGAAAATTTAATTTTTTTAATTTAATTTAATTTAAATTAATTTTTTAATATAATTAACTTTGAAATAAATTGAAGAAATTATAACAATTTCCTACCGGTTTCTCAAATCTATTTCATTTTCTGCGCGAGTCGTAATACTTTTGGAGGAGAGTGTCACAATTGTGACAGTACAATAAGTTGGACGTAAAACTTTGTTTCGTCAGAGTGTGGTAGAAATGAAGGTAATCATTTTGTGAAAAGACAAATGATTTGCGTTAAAATCTGCAAAATTACGTGGAAACCTCCAAAATTACGTAGAAACAGCAAACATCACCTAAATAACCCCAAAATTACGTAAAATAGCCCAAATATTACGTAAAACATCTAAAAAATTACGAACATTTTTTGTGTGCGATCAAAAAATGTGATTACTAGACTGCGGAATTTTATGCAAAATAAAAATTGTCTACATCAATTGCTAGAAACAAAAACTAAATAGAAAGTTCATTTTTCATTGAATAATTGTATTAGACTGAAAATAATACAATGACATTTTAAAATTCTTTTAATCTCTCTACTACTTAAAAATGATACTACTCATTTTTGCCATAAATGCATAAAATCCACAGTCTAATGTTTACTACTATGAAGGAATTGAAAAGCAATTATAAAAACTTCTGTGAACTTTCTCTAATCTAGCTTCAATTTTAAAACAGATTAAATTTCAACAGATTAATTGAAAAGTCTTTTTCAAAAACTTGTTCAAATTCATGTTACACGATGTCCCAATACTCAACGAATTTTTACTACGGCACATTAAAATAGCACGTTTTGAACCAAAACCTCGAAATTTTAAATTGCAAGGCACGGTGTTGGTAAAATTATAAATAATTATATTTTACGACAGAGATGTGTCTTGGAAATTCTAGACAATGAAAACATTCAAGGAATTATTACTCAATTTCCAATCTGTTGAAATTATTAAAAAGGAAATTAAAATTTTCCTATTCTTTGCAATCGAAAATTTGTATTCTGCACAGAAATTCGCAGTCTAGTTATCGCCTGGAGATTTTCGTATAATTATTTTTGAAAATGTACAAAAATATAAGTTTTGTAATTTATTCACAAAAGGGTGAAGTTCATTTGAAGAAATACGAATATGATCTGCAAATGAATGCGTCCGGACTGCGAAACCGTATCGAACATCTTGTAAGAATCTCAAATATGAATTTCAAATTTCTGAAAGTAATTCGAAAACCACCCCGAGAAGCGGTCAGCAGCTGCGGCCGTCACAGGGGTTGCAGACACAGAAGTATGTTACACACGCGGAGAACTTGATACGCGAGGAGGCTCGGAACTTCTCTTAGAATTTCGACGACGAGTGTGCGGGTTACACGATACCGTTCTTTTACACGGAAAGACGAGCTTCTCGAAATCAGGGAGACGAAACTTAGCCCCGGTCCGTTTATTTTCGTCGAGATTTCACGGAGTCGCAAGAAACTCCTCGCGTCCGCGAATGCGCAGACGGCTAATTGGAGCTTCCATTCGCCCCTAAAACTGACTACGATTTCAAAGTATCCTAGGAATGTTAAGATGCCTTTGGGAAATGCTCGCAATCAGGCCCCTCGTCTCATTCATCGGACGCGTTAAGCATACTGAAAGAATTTTGGAGATTGTAGCAAAGGTGTGACGGGTTTTTAGCGTTTTGGACGACATTGCAGGGGATGTTTATACAAATTTCTATTTTCGTTAACATAGTAATTCAGTAAAAATTGTTGCGATTGCTCTGATTCGAGATTTGTGAATTAACCTTCTAACCGCGAGAGAGTTTTCGACTTTTCAGTATGAAATCGCGAGCTAATATTATTTGTTACGTAGATGTGTCGTAAGGATTAGATTCAAAAGAATATATAAAGAAGAACGAAAAAAGATACAACCGAGGGTAACTCGTTGATTCTCAATTAAAATTATTATTATTAGATTTCTAACTCGATTGTAAGAAACAGAAATTGAATAAAATTCTTTTAATAATTTTAATAAAGTAAAGAGAAGATAGCAATATTTTTAATTTTTTTCTAACGTATTTACACTAAGATGTTTGATCTACTCACTTTTATTATAAAGTAAAAAACTCACAGTCCAATTATTACTATCAAGAAATTAATGAAGAAATCCTTAACTCTAAATCGCAAATAATTAATATCTATTGAGTA